AGCTCTCAAGAGACAGAGGCAGGCAGACTGCTGTGAGAGCCAGACCAGCTGTTCTACATAGTGAGTTAGTTCCAGGCCAGCCAGCCAAGACCCTGTCTCAGAACATAAATAAATAAATAAATAAATAAATAAATAAATAATTTAAAAAAGTAAAAGAAAACAAAACAAAACCAAAGACATTCCTGCTGCTCAGCAAAGTCAAAGGTCACCTTGTCCTAGGTAGAATCTGGGGCACTGACACACTTTTAAGATTATAGTAAAATACACTGTGAAAATGATACATCCTTTTCTTGAGGTAATTTTCTCTCAGACTGCCCAATACAGACATTCTCACAAGGTACAAATTATACTCTGACTATATGACATGCCACTTTCCTGGTAGAAAAGAGAAACAGCTAACAGTGATGAGTTTTACCCAAGCATATAACCCTAGTAAACAGCAATCTCTGACCTTCCATCTCACAATTCTTACTGGACTTGAGAAACCCCCACCACACACACACACACACACACACACACACACACACACACATGTTGCTTCCAAGCCTGTCCATTTAAATCTATGACTAGTCCAGACACAAACCTTACAAATGCCCATTTGTCACAAGCTTGAAAGATGACTCAGTTGTTAAGAGCACTGGCTGCTCTTCCAGAGGAACTGAGTTTGACTCCCAGCACCCACATGGCAGCTCACAACCATCTGTAACTCTAGTCCCACAGGGATCTTCTGGTCTCTGTGGTCACCAGGTACACATGTAGTGCACATATGTACACACAGACAAAACACGCACACACATAAAATAACAAATTTTTTTAAAAGAAAAAAAAAAAACAAATGTCCACGTGTCCCTAAAGCATGTGGCTGAACTGAACAGTGAAAACAAAATACTTACTGTCAGGACTCAGGCATTATTGTGGCCTGCCCCTGTCACCTGGCAGAATGCACTCAGGCAGTGCCCTGGTCAGCCCAGGGTTCCATGGTTGTGTAGTCTGCACACAGGTGCAAGGGACCCTTTAAAAGTCAGACCCTGGCCCATATACTCTTTCCTGCTGTTCCCCTGGGGCAGACAGGACTTTTCTTGTCTCCCTCTTCTCTTCTGTCCTCTCTCTGTCTCTTTACCTCTTTCATTTCTCCTTCCATCCCCTAATAAAACTTCTCATTTAAGTTCTGTCTGCCTGGCATGTTTGTGTCCTGTGTTCTCCCTGCCTCCCCCATCACCCACCTGCCACAGAATCCGCCAAGGTCCCCCCATGCTTTATTCCTAACACTTACTGAGCAAACTTTCCTGAATGATCTGTTCTTATCCCAACCACACTTCTTTCACAGCCACTATCTCTGACCCTCTCAGCAAAAATCTGCACACAACCTTTCCGCGATAGTTATCCAAAGAACAGGGGCCCTAAGGGGAAAGTCCTCATCCCTTCCTCCCCTTACACCTTCTCTCCACCCCAGTTTACTGGGGAACACAAACATTAAGCCCTCTTCTGCCCAATTACTGGACTGCATGCAGGGGCTTGCCACTATTGCAATGCTTTTCACAGTCATGTCTTCCTCCAACTAGTACGCAATCTTAAACCAATGTCACCGAATGAGCGGTCAAAGGACAATAACCATGACGTCAGAGGAGCGCGAGCCTCCTCCTGCTCTTCCAAGAGCACAGTTACTCGGGACTCCTTCTGACGGCCCAGGCAGTGAGGAAACGCCTGGGTGTGTGGAGGTTGACTTTCCACTCCACACAGCGCTGGGCTGCAGGGGAAGGTCACAGACGCTCTTTCTCGGGAACTGGAAAGAGTGGCCGCAGATCACAGAGACCGCAGCGGTCCCCGCCGGCGGCCCCGCATGAAGACGAGCGCCACCCCCCCACCCCGGACCCCCGGCTGTCAGCACAACGTGAGGGGATCTGGCGTAGCGGGGAGGGCTGCAGAAAGGAAACCGGGTCTCAGCGGAACGACCGAGTCCCAGGGCCCTGGCAGCCGAGGGACGAGTGCTCGCTCCCGCGAGCCCCAGGGTGCCAGCCGCAGACCGCTGACTTAACCCGGGGAGAGCCGCCCACCTCACACCGCCTCGTGCTCACCATGTCTCCGCCCGGCGCCTCCGGCGGCCTCACCTCCGCTCCTGGGTTCCGAGCTGTCCCGGATACCGGGGCTGAACCCTCAAGACCTCCTCAGCTGACAGGGCCTCTGCACTAGTATGGCCGCGCCAGGAAGAAAGATGGCGAGGAAAGAACTTCCGCCCTGCCCAGCAGCACTCCTGAACTGTCGGTTTCCACAACCTTAAGCATACCTAACACCTATTTCAAGAGGAACTATTAGGAATTAATGGCTTCCTGGGGAAGAAAGAGTCATTGTTTTCAGAGACATAGCCACTGATGGATTGCCCATGCCTCAGAAAATAACTCTCACCCATGTTCATTCAAGTAACCATAATTAAGGTCACAAGGTCACAAACAAAACACTAAAAATTAGAGGTGAACTTATTGAGGGCATGGTTCAGTAGAAGTGGGATGGGCATGACCCAGTGTAATGGTGGGTGATAAAGATAAAAAATATATGTATATGAAATTGTAAAAAGTACAAACAAGAAAAAAATAAATAGTAGTGATCAGTATCTGAAGAAGATATGACCTAAGACCTGCAGTGGAAGACAAAAATAGTGGCTAGCAGTTAGCTTAATATATACTATGGTTTTCCCTACTCATACATATGAGAAACTTTAATTTGTTAACTAGGCACAAAGAGAGATTTACAAGAATACATAATAGTGAAATAAGCTGGGCGTTGGTGGTGCACACCTTTAATCCCAGCACCTGGGAAACAGAGGCAGGCGGATCTCTGTGAGTTCGAGGCCAGCCTGGTCTACAGAGTGAGTTCCAGGATAGCCTCCAAAGCAATACAGAGAAAAAAAATAGTGAAACAGAACTATAACAATGATATATAATGAGTTAGCTTCTTTCTTTCTCAGTATGTCACAGTACACCGCATTCATCTTTCTTCTTGGGCTGATGTCATGTCACATAGCTGCTATACAATGAGATTATATGAGGTGAGTGATGGACTAGCATAGCTTTATATTACATGACATTACTCATAATAACTAGTCACAATTTAAGTTATGAATATGATACTGACCATGCTCAGAGCCCACAAAACTTGGATAAACTTGTCAGAAACCTTTGGGAGGTGAAGCAAATGTTTTAGTTGTCACACACTGAACAAATATCCTTGTGACTGCTACAGAACTGTGCTGCATGCTGGTGGCTCCATATCTCTGGGGTCTCAAGGGTGATAATTCTTCCATGGACCCCTCCCCCCACCACGCACTGTACTGCTGAAGACTGCAGCAGCCTCAACTCCACAATTCGCCTGGGCTTTGTCCTGGTGGGAGTCTTGTGATAGCTCTGCTCCCACCATACAATTTTGCCTTAACCTTAGGAATGTTGGAGCGATTTCTTGGAATATACATGGAGAAGTCTACCCTTCTTTTCGGCTTTTATTCTCTGTAGACCTGGAATATTAGAAACATATAGTGTGAGATTTGTTTGTGACTTCTCATCAGTAGACAGAAAGTAAGCACTGACTCCTTCAAGTACAGCAAGGAAGAGACAGATTCGTTGTGGTCTTAGTCAGCCTCAAGGTTAGTTGGGACCCTGTGCCCCTCCTCCGATGTTAAATTCTTCTGTATCAAGGGCATGATCTGGTGATATGTCCCTATAATTTCATCACTCAGAAGGCTGAGGCAGGATTGTTATTTGGTAGCCAGCCTGGGCTATATAATGAGATATTGTCTTAAAATAAAACAAACAAAAACACCACCACAAACAATATGACAAAATAATCCATGCATTTGCAAATATGGGAAGGGGAGCTTTGAAAATCTCCTTATTGCCTTCAAGGTCATTTTTTCCACATTTTTCATGAATAGCACCAGGCTTCCTTCTAGCCAAATCTACCAGGTAAGGTGGTTTGGATGCTACTTGCTGTTCTCAAAGTACACTATATTTATATTTTACATAGGCTGAGAACTTTCCAGATCTTTACATTCGACTGCCCCTTTCATTACAGCAACAGTTTTTATGTCCCTTTTCTCCTGCATTTCCTGAGCAGTTGTCATGTCCAAAAGAAACCTGGGACACATCTCACTCAGTACCTGTGGCTCCACCCAGCACTCCCACACCACCCCCTATCCCAAACCTCTCCAACCCAGGAACTGGGCTTCACTTCCCTTCTCCAGCTTCTGGCCATTTATAAAACAGCCATGTTGGCCACACACTCCTGGTTCTCATGTGCTCTCTTGGTCTTTTTGCTCCTTCCTGGTTCACCCTTTGTCTCTGCCCTCTTGGCTCTCTTCTCTTCCTCTCTTGATCTCTCCTCTCCCACTCTTTCCTCTCATGGCCTGGTTCAGTCCAGACCCTTCCAGATGCCTCGGACTGAACTCTCCTTCATATGTACAATAAAACCCTTCTCAACCATACTTTGGAGCAGTCATGTGCTCATTTTCACTCACCAATAACAGAAGCCACGCAGCTGCTCAAACACTAGCTGAGACCTTAATTCCAAATATACGAGTTCATCACTTTGAAGTTCTGTTCTCTGGACTGTCCTTGGACACAGAAATAATTCAGCCTTTTAGACACTTGTAGTGAGGATGGCAATTTCCCATTTCCAACCAGATGTCCTCTCTTCTGATTAAAATAGAATCAGTATAGCCTTTGCTGTCCATTGTTCTGTTTAAGGGAACTGTGTTGGTTAGCTATAGTTATCAACTTTACAAAATCTGTAACTGCCTGGGAACTAAGTCTCAGTGTGGGACTCACCATATTGTGTTGGTCAGTGGTCATGTCTGTGGGAGAGTGTCTTGGTTGTAGTAACTGATGTGAGAAAATCCAGCCTAAAAGTGGGTGGTGACAGGGCCTGAGTTTGGGTCCCAGACTGGGTAAGAGATGAAAGTGAGCTGAGCGGTAGACATGCATACATTTACTTCTCCCTGCTCTAGACTATGTGTGTGATGTGACTCTCCATTTCAAGGCCCTGCCTTTACTTTTTTTGAGTAACTAACCGAAATCTGGACTTGATAAGTAAATAAACCATTCTCTCAAGTTGCTTGTCTTTTTTTTTTTCTTCTTGAGTGAGGGTTTCTTTGTGTATCCCTGGCTGATTTGGAACTTGCTATTATACCAGGCTGGCCTCAAACTCAGTTTCAGAGGAATATTGTCAATCATGGGAAAGAAGACACAACAGCAAGCAGAGATGGCATGGTGACAGGAGCAGGATGCTGGCTGGTCATACATCCATACTCAGGAAACAGAACGAAGAGAAAGTGGGGCATACAATAAAGCCTCAGGGCCCACCCCTAGTATTCCACATCATCCAGTATGTCTTCACCTCTTTACGTTCAACAATCTACCACTGGGTGGAGATCAAGTTTCAACCATGTGAAGTATGGGGTACATTTCACATTCAAAACACAATACCTTTTTTCCCACTAAGGCAGTGTTCAAATCAGAATGACAGTCTGATGCTTATGGGGGACACAATGTGGAGTCAGATGCAAGATTTATAATGGTAGTTTATTTAGGAGAAGTACTCATGAAAATCTGCTTGGTCGGTCAGTGGTGAGCAAGAGATGGGGCTCAAGTGCGCACCTCTGAACTACTTAAACTTTTCCACGTCACTCTGACCATGCCCAAGCAGGTGTGGTCAGCGACACCTGTGTCCAGCCCCAAGGAGTCGTGGTTAGCGTTACCTGTGACCACGCCCAAGCTGGCATGGTCAGCGGTACTTCTAACCAAGCTTTCTCTCTACAGATGCTCACCTGAATTACTGCTTTGGTGAGAGACTTTCTTTGGTCTTTCAAAGGGGGAAATCAGAGTGGACTAGATTATGTTATTACATCCATAGGAAAAACCCAAATGGGACAGCACTGGGTGCAATTCACAACCTGGGAGAAACTTCAAGGCTTGAAGGGTATGGTTTATATCACTACTTACTGGATGGAGAGATGGCTCAATGGGTAAGAATGCTCACATAAGTATGGTGACCTGAAATCCTGTGCCTAGAACTCCAGTTCTATGGGGAAGCTGAGACAAAAAGCTGACTCCAAGCCTCACTTCAGGTATAGTGGGACCCTATCTCAAAGAAATAAGCCCAGTGAGTGATATAGAAGGACACCTGATATACTTGTCTGGTCTCAAAATACACATGGGTATATAACCCCCGCCCATTCTTTCTCTCTGTCTCTGTCTCTCTCACACCTATCTATCTACCTATGCTTTGTCTGGTTTTGTTTTTGTTTTTGTTTTTGTTTTGAGACAGGGTTTCCCTGTATAGCCCTGGCTGTCCTGGAACTCACCCTGTAGACCTGGCTGGCCTTGAACTGACAGAGATCCACCTGTCTCTGCCTCCCGAGTATCTGGATTAAACTATCTACCTATTTATAGCTGAACGAAGACAATCTGTAGTCCATAAGGTCAAGATACCTTTATTCAGATAAATACCAGCCAAACGCAAGCCAGAGCATGAGAGGAGCAGCAAGGCAGGGAGGCCAGAGTGAAGGGGCCTCCCATGTGCTCACCACTGCTTAAGAACCTATCCCGAGTCATCCTGACCTCACCTTGACCACGCACCTGTAGCCAGCCTCTAACAGGCGTGGCTTACTGTCCCCTACACCTATTCTAGCTAGATGTCATGTACGTGAATTCACAGCAGCTGTGGTTACTGCAAAATATACTTGCACAATATTGGGCTCGTCACCATCTTTTTATAGAGGGGAGAGGGACTTCTGAGGAATTGTGGGCCATTACCTAGTAGCTAAGGAGGAAAGGCTCATGAGGCCTATCCACTCCTTGAGGATCTGTATGCAGTTAATGGTTGCTAGGGGAGGAAGAGAGATTTCCTTTGGTAGTATAGAAACTGAGAAGGCACCAGTTGAGAAAAAGAAAAGAATCAACATAAGTAGGAAAGACACAAGAGAATGTAATGAGGATCTCTAAGAATTTGAGGCTAGCCTGGTGTACATCACTAGTTCCAGGGCACCAGTGAGAATATGTCTAGGGACAGGATGGTAAAAGGGTTCATTTGAGTGAAAATGCAATAAAACATAAAAACACCCTTGGAAATTTTCAAATGATGTTAAACAGGTGCACCCCAGACAGCTGTGTTTCAAAGTAACAAAAGCTCAGTTCTAGACTTTCATGTGCACACTCAGAATTGCATGCTACACGTATGTGCAGAGGTTTGAATGAGAAATTTTTTCTACAGTCTTAAGCATTTAGGCGCCAACATGGTGGAGTTGTTTGGGAAGGTTTAGGTGGCATGACTTTTCTAGAGGAAATGTATTACAGG